CAGTGAACGACTTGCAGTGACTGCTCATGCCCGGTAGCAATATCGGATATTGTTTTGCCGCCGACCCCATCACCGATTGTCGATTGGGTGCTCTGGGTGTGTTGCTTCCTAGTACCACATCGAGGCGTCCGTGACGACAGCACGCATGAGAAGCTAGTGCTAGACTCTAGCACCAGCTCAAGCGACTCTAACACGTAGAGTCGCTTGATCAGCTACTGCCAAACAAGATCCATAAAAGCAGTACGATTGGATGGATGGTCCCGAGTCCAACCGTCTCGCACATGGCCAGCTCTGAGCATCGACCTCCACTGCCGGCACCTATGTTTGCAAAAGAAGCGCGCGCCCTGAGAGAGTAGCTTGTCTTGGTATTGTTGGCGAGCGAGTGTCGAACGTCGCGTCAATATGTGGTAGCGCTCAGACGAGCCATGTCGTGGCAGTTCGCTCCATCACCCGATGCAACACGTCACCGCGCAACTATGAATCACCGCTCGAGTTCTCCTCCTCTACACTGTTGGTGGTGGTGATGGAGGTACGGCAAAGTGATATGCGTTGCTTCCGAGATTTGTCTGCCACACAGCTCGTCCAGAGTCGCCATGAGCCCGTCTCCTGCGTCGCCGTACCGTTCATGCACGGCGAAGAGAAGCAAGCGCGGATTCAATGCGGTGTCGATGCCCAAAGTATTGTCCACTGACGCTTCTTTCGATACTGTCCTTGGAAATTGTGGGCCGGAAAGACCACCAGCACTTACAAGCCACACCGAATGGCTGCCAACCAGATTCGACGTGGAAGATTCACTTTTACCGGCAAACGCGAGGCCTCAAGCACACTCCAAAGACCAGCGTGGCGCAGCAATGCTAGCATCGGCTCGGCTTGACCCCGGCTTGGAGCCGGCTCGAAAAAATGAAGCCAGCCAGTCACTTTTCTCGGCAAGCCACGGCTCAGCTGTTGGAGCCGAGCCGCGGTGACCCCTAGCCTAGCTAGCATAGTAGAGTCTTCGAGTCGTCGTAGCGTCGAGTCCCGTCAATCGATTTACGGTGGTATCGTTCGAGTCGTGGAGCCGATGGCTCGCCGCTTTTGCACCGGTGTTGGCTTTACTGTCTCGGCTCGGCTTCAAGCCGAGCTGAACCGAGCCGTTGATGGGCGAGCCTATGGAGTCGTAAACGGCCACAAAAATGGCACACATTTTTCAACATTTGGCGGCCACTAACGAGGGTCGCTGTGGCTCGCTTGGCTCGGTTCGGCTCGGCTCGGCTTCGAGCCGGCTCTAAATCTCGACCCTGAGCCAGCTTGTGTTGCGGCTCCAGCGGCTCTAGAAGAAAACAATTCAGGCTCTATTCCCGAGCCGGCTCGAAGTCAAGCCGAGCCGTTGAGGGTCGAGCTCGCGGACACTCGACGTGGGGAAAGGAGGTTGCTTCAGTATCCGGAAACATTTTCCGGATGGCCATCGTCTTGTGCCGCCACGTCACCGCCCACTATACGAGAGGAGATGTAGCACTTGGTCTGTGTCATCCCACGGTCAGCGACTCAGATGCTGCGCGAAGGTGAAATGCTCACCTTATGACGCGGATTGTACGCAGCTTCAAGAATTCTACTTCTGGCCAACAAGGAGGAAAGAAGAAACAGTACCCACCTCGCCTTCAACAACAATCCATCATTTGCATGGCGACGACCACGAGTTTGTCACCGACGCCCCAACGCTGCCGTCGCCGCCAGCTCTCGCCCGAGCAAAAGGAAATG